ATATGACATCTTTCTTGAGTTGGCTCCCCATAATTCATTAAAGCCCATTAATTCAGTGTTTCGGGAATGGGCAGCTACTTTAACATGAAGATTTTCTTTTTTCCTGGCTGAACATAGCTGGAGATTGGTTTTCTTCTCCCACTTGCAGTTAGTAGATGCTGTGTACTGTGAAATGACTAGTAGGTGACATGTGAGTAAGAACCTTCAATTATCTCTATTTAAAATTATGTTTAGATGAACACCAGTACAGCTTCCTAGCATTAGTGCTTTGTTGTTAGTATCTCTTTTGAGTGGCAAACCGTAGCCTGTTCCAACAGTGTGTATGCATTAAAAAAAAAAACCAACCACGTAAGATGTAAGAGAGGAAAGGAAACCTGTCATTCCCTTTGAATTACAATAAGGAACAATTGCTATTCCTCCAGAAAGTGGGAAAATGAGCAGAGTGAGGAGTGCAAAACTGGGTATAAATTTAGCAAAATTTCTATTGCTGCATTGATTCTTTCATATACACATATATTTTGAATTTGTGGCATAGTTTGTTCTCATGTTTATGTATTATTTCATACCTAACATTCTTTTTAGGAGGCTTGGTAGTCAATCATAATGACATATATATGGGATGTGTGTTTAACATAACCCAGTAAGGAGCAGAAATCCTCCATGAAATCAAATGTGCATATTCACCTTGGAAAAATTATGAAAATTTTCAAAAGAGCATGCACTTGTTGGAAACTTGAAATGAGCATTAATATTTTTTAAAACTCTTTCAAGAATTTTTTTTTGCCCTATTAAAATTGATGGGAGTTAGGCATCCCAGTTTCCTAAAGATCTTGTAAATTCTCAACCCATATGGTCAGTGAAAAGTGCTAGAGTAAATGAAAGAGATTAAAGAAATGACATATAAATTCTGTGTCTTGTTCTTCATTCTTCTAGGATTGCCATAGAGGATTTTTAATTCAGTATATTTTTTATCTTTGACATCACAATTTTAAAAAAAAATAGAAGTAGGAAAGTGACAGTTTCAGAAGTTAAAGAAATCAAAATAACAAAATTTTTCCAATTTTTCAAGGCTTAAAGACTTTGAATTATTATGCTGTTTAGGAAAATGGATATGGAAATAAATTATTCTTTCAACATTTGTGTTCCCTTAAAATATGGAAAGCTTCCTGCCTTAAATGCTCAGTACAGAATTATTGCCCTAACTCTGACAATATGAAGAATTGCAGCCACTTTGCAACCCCTGTAACACCAATGACAAAAACTGCTTGTAAGGTACCGGTGTTACTTTGCTCTCTGTCCTGTCCTGAATAAACTTTTGCCCTTCTGGCATCCTTAAATTCTTAAAATATGGAAGTGACCATTTAAGACAGTATTATGTGAATTTGTAACACAGTTAAAATTACAGTTTTCCATGAGTAAATAATTATTTTTGAATAATTCTTCTTGATTGAATAACTACTGGTGCACAAAAAACACTGTTTTGGATGTTTTTAAAAAGTGATATTAAAGGGATTAATCATGCAGTTTGTATTTGGACAGAATTCCTTCTGAAGTCAGTGGCATTTGTGCCTAAATGCAGAATGTGGGAACATGCCCAATAAGAGCAGTCTATGTTCAGAAGGCATTTGTCTTTATAGTCTGCCATTAGTCCAAATACAAAGTCTAGCACTGCATTTCATAACGTGTGCTGCTCCACCAGCTCTCTCTAGAAACAAGCTCTTTTCCATGTAAAATATTTTTATTCTTTCAAATCAGTATAACAAACAATACAAGGAAAAATAATTTTCTCTGAAAACTTACTGAGTTGAAAATGCTGTAAATTTACGAATTCTGACATATGCCCTTTAAAACTTGTGCATCTACTGTTTTTATTTTCATTATGTATTGCAAAATATATTAATAATTTTTTCAATGTTCTATTCCAGAAAAAAATATGGCTTTTAACCAAATAAAAATATACAGCCAGCTTGCTCTAAAATCCATCTGGTTTTCATTTTCTTATAATCTATAATCAGGAAATTCATTGATACATGACATAATTCTTGCAGTTTCAAGTGGTTAGTGGAATGTGATGTTCTGCATACAGTCACATCTAAGTTGATAATTGTCCAGGCAGAGTGTAATTTTAAATTATAGCATCAAGGAAGGTTTAATTTGCGTATTAGAAGTCTTATACATTTTTTTTTCCTCTGAATGTAAATAGAGCCATTCTTTTTGGTGGGTTTATCTGAACGTGGGACAGCTGCTTCAGGGCAGGACACAGCTCTTTTGAGTTGAAAGAGTGCAGTTTAAAGAGCTGGTTTGAATGCAGACCCTTCTTAACTGTAAACCGCATGCATGTATTCATCATTGATTTTCAAATGATGGGTTTCTGTATCACTGGTTTAAGGTCCACAGTCTTAGATTCCTTTTCATTATGCCAAAAGAATAACAATTTGGTGGCTAGAAAGAGGAATGGTTATTATATGGGTCCAAAATGCTAGCTGGCATAATATGCCATGAAAAGCAGAAGTCTGGTGGTAAAGAGAAGATTGCAGTAGTTGTTACTTAGAATTTGATGTTATTAAAATATAAATGTAAGAAATGTTATCACTGTTCAAGCTATTTTACATCAGTAGATAAATAATATAATGGTCAGATGACAGTTTCTAAAGAGTAAAGTTTTATACAGAAGCATTCTTTATGTATAACAGTATATTATATTAAGTAAACCTAATGTAGAAAATGGGGATTCTTTCTTGTAAGGAGTTTTATTCTCCAAAAATCATGAGAAACAAAGAGAGAGTACAGTGCATTCTGTTTTGCTGGAGGTCTTAGGTTCTATTTTGTAGAACAGAAAAAAAATTACACTGCTGCTTCCAACAGCTTCATTGTCACTCTCTGAACAAATCCTTGTCATACAACAGATTTCATGAGCAGTTTTATGTCCTCTTGGTAAAAGTATCTCCTGTATGAAACCAGCACCAGGGAAAGTCTCCTTTTTCTTCAGTTTCTTGTGTTGATCACTTCTCCACACATTACTTTTTCAGTATTCAGCTTGTAAAAGATGAACTTTTAAAAGGCACTGTGGTTTCCAGGAGAAAATACTGTTGTATAGTCAAAATGCCCCTTCTAATTTCACCACCTCTAATAACACATAGCATTAATTGGAGCACAATAGTTAGCAAATCCATGCTGAGAGCAACTGTTCATTAAAAAAAAAAGTGTACTGACACAAAATGGAAATTCTTGATGTTGTTCTGCTGGTTTAGCTTGATAAGTGTAAAATACATTTCATTAACTCATTTTGTCTTGCTAACTAAGATATTAAGGAAATAAACAAGAAGATTATGTATGAAAAATATTTTAAGACAAAATCTCTGAAGTGGTCTGAGTGCTGTTAAGTTTTCATCTTTTTGCAAAGGCTTGGGAGATCATGATGATAAAAAGCATGAGGATAAACAAGCCAGGTCAGTCCAGTAACTAGAAGTGCCTCACAAATATAGAAGTTGAGCACTTACTGATAATTTTCATGTGTCCTAAGGCTAGTGTGCACAGTTCAGGGTCTTCCAGAGCCTGCAGTAGTGATTTTGTATTTAATAGCCTTTGACAGATTTTATTTCCATGGATTTACTGATCTGATAAATACAATTAGCTGATGTGCTTGAGGATTAAAAACACAATTTAATCTCAGTTATGCTTGGACACACTTCATTATCCTAACTAGAAGAGCAAATCACTCTCATGTACTGTCATTTTTATGCCCACCTCATAGACATTATCAAATTTAGTTCCATAATGCATTTAAGTCCTTTAGGGTTGTAAACCCTATTTCATATGTGGAAAAAAAAAAGTCATTTAGTTATGTAGTCTTCACTGACTTTGGGACTACAAAGGAAATTTGAAGGTTAGTATTTCTGACCCACAGGGCTCTGCCACACTCACTAGCTTATCTTCCCAAACAAATTCTAGGTTGTCTGTTGCAGCTTGCAAACTAAACAAAAGCTGAGTACAGAACAGAAAGTTTTCCCTAGTATTTCCCAGGTTTCCTTCATACTACCCATGAAAGTTTTCTCTTTCCATACTAGTTTTCATGCTATTCCTATATATGACCAGACAGTTTCTGTACTTCTGTTGAGACTGTGCAGACAGATCTCAAGGTTACACTAATAAGTCAGCTTTTCCCCAGAATTTGTGTGGGTAAGAGGTGAAATCATGTGGATGAAATAGAAAGGTCTCATTTTTAGTGGAATGGTAGGTCAGTAACCTTATGGATATACAGTTCTCTGTAGTATATGGTGAAAGAAGAAAATCCTTTTCTGAAAAAGGCAAATGAAGCATTTTCTTGGCAGATTTGCTCCTGTGGCCTGCAGAAAGAGAGATGAAGATGAAAGATACAGTGGTATATTCCAAATAAGGTTATGATCTTGCTCTCATTGACTTTAGTGTTGACAGAATCAGGTCCAAAAAGTGTGGTGAAAAAGAGCCAAAAGCATTTACAAATCTTTTTAGTCCTCCCCCTGCCTTTTCTGGAAATTATAGCCTTGCTATAAACATCCTTTGTTTAAAAGAAAAACGAAGTCATGACCAGCAAAGGGCTGAGACAGGCAAGGCACAATCCCAATCCTCTGTTGTTGTCAAGAAAACCTGGAATAGCTTAGACATTTTTTAAGCCCTTAAATTATCGGACTTTCCTGATTCTTGTGTAAGGCAGATGTCAGATGTTGGCTGCTGCAAAGGCACAGTATATTGTGCTATATACCACAGTGCTGTAAAAAGAGTAGTATAATCAAGTGAATTTCAGCATATCACTGAGATGCCAGCAACCATGAGAGAAAGCATTTTAAGACCAGTTGTTGCAAATATGGCGAGTGTTGTATTTTCCTGTAAAGATATGTATATACCGTGATTTTTTAATTTCATATTTTTAGTGTTAAGGCTTAAGAAATACAGTGGAGTTTGTGAAACTTCTCTCTCAGTCTTTTTTTTCTTTATTTTATTTTCCTTTTGTACCTAAACAGGAAATGGATATGGCAATCCCCGCAACTCACCAGGTCTGCTGGTCTCACCTGGCAACTTGAACAAGAATATGCAAGCAAAATCTCCGCCTCCAATGAATTTGGGAATGAACAACCGTAAACCAGATCTCCGTGTGCTTATTCCACCTGGCAGCAAGAACACCATGCCATCAGTGGTAATGGATTTTCAAAGCTTTTCTTTTTATCTCCTCCAGAGTTAGGAATTTCAAGACTTGTTCAAGCACCTAAATTCTTGTTTGCTTGCTCTTTCTGTCTAACCTTAAAGCTTGACATAGAGCTGAGGATGTAAGCTGAGCCACTTTGATTGCTTTTTTGAAGTCACATTTACATCCTCCTTTTTTATGTTGAGTTGCAAAATAGGAACTATGTCCTACAGTCTTTTTCCTAGTAGCTGAAAGAGCCTTTCCTGGATTTGTTATAAAGGCTGAATTTAGCCCTGAGTATTCCAAACCTATTACGATTTTCTTAAATATTTAGCCACACAGACTCTCAACATATTGGCATATTAACTGCAAATAAATTAGTTTGACCTCTATCACTCTGAGCTCCAAATTTTGTCATGATAAGAAGTAGTAAATAGAGCAAGATTAAAAGGAGCATGAAATTTCTGTATCTTCTGCCAAGAGAAGTTTAGGCAAGCTATTATGTTAGTACATTGAATTGGGAAGGTGTCATTTGCATGTCTTGTAGTTCCCTTCCAAAAGTCAGTTATTGGTTGCAAGTAAATATTTTATGAGTGATTTAACTTTAAAAGTGAGCTTAATTTGAAAAGGATCTTGTTAGTAGATTTAAGTGACATTATAAATGCAGCTTTCCGTTATGCAACAGACACTTAAAAAAACTTCCAAGTTGGCTACTTCGGCTTGATGAAAAATAAATTAATCATCAAACTAAACCCCCCCATAAATGCAATGCTGCCTTCTAAGAGGATAATTAATAAATAGCCCTACAGGGCAATACTCAAAGTCAGCTAAGGCAGTGACAAGCTGTCTGCATCAGATGATTTATTTCAAGTTCCTTAAAACTGGTATTTTCCAAAGGATTCTGTGAATGGTTGGGTATAGCAAGAGAGTCTGCAGCCACTGGGGCTGTGGAAGAAATAATGAATTCATAGAGAAAGTCTAGTGCTGAAAACTGGATAGATTGTCTCCACAATTGAGGCAAACATCCCATTAGAAGGACAAATAAGGGATCAGTGAGGTGATGTTTTTCCAAACTATGTTCAGAATGTGTTTAATTTGCTGCCCCTATCAGATTAAACTATTCCCAAAACTAGGAATCTGCATCCTGGTAAATATTTATATTTGCTAATTTTTAACACTCCTTTCCTATGCAATCAGTCCGAGGATGTTGATCTGCTTCTGGTAAGTGGTAATGATGTTCATCTTAATAACAAGGGAAAGAAAATCAGTTATTTTTAATTATGTAGGTGAAGTGTTGGTTGAAATAGAATGGAAATGCTGCCTTAAAAACTATGTTGTAAGGAAAAAGGTCATCATAATTTTTTTAATATAGCAATATAGAAGGCCAGGTATAGTTGTTGACATACTCATATTATGCATGCTAGATTTAAGCTTGCTTATTTATGGTGCTTTAAGAGCATGTAAACTTGTGTTGTTGAAGATGGTGCAGCCTTACGACATTTTTTTTCGGTGGCTCTCTAGTCATTTTATCCTGCCACTCACACAATTAGAGTTCTCTAGTGTAATTTTTACAGTGCAACATCTAGTGCCTTGGAGTTAAAGATAAGTGTGTAACTGCTGTGCTACCTAACAGCCTTGAAGTTTGTTTTATTGCACAAAAACGAAGTAGTCAGAGCACCATCTGCTGGTAAGAGTTCAGTGTTCAGCAATCTGGGGGTGCCCCTCACTCTCAAAATCCAGCGGACCTGGGTTTGGGGGTTTTCTTTCACCTTTTTGTTTTGCTTTGTCTTGTGGGTTTTGTTGTTGTTTCTGGTTGGGTTTTTTTCTGTTTCAGTGAAAAGGAATACAATGGGAATAGAGTTTACATATTTCATTAGTTTTTCACATGATCTGTTCTTCTACCCACAATAAAAGCAATCTTCCTAGTTCAGTTACCTAGGAGATACTGATGTAATGGGTTACTATGGTGACAGCTGGTCTCGTGAAGGCTTGTAAATGATAGGGTTGGCAGAGTTCATAAAAGCCACATGTTAAATGATTGATTTCTAGAAATTTGTGTCAGCCTGTATTTGTCATACATGAAACATACCCTGAAAGCAAATACACCCAACTGACTTAAAACTGGTAAATAACATGTTTATTTTACTTACTTTAAAAGAATCAAAGGATAAATAACTCCCAGTCTGCTCAGTCATTGGCTACTCCAGTGGTTTCCGTAGCAACTCCTACTCTACCAGGGCAAGGGATGGGAGGATACCCATCAGCCATCTCAACAACATATGGTACTGGTAAGTATGGGTGCAGGATGCAAAGGGTGGAGGGAGCAAGGTGCTGACAAGTGTCTATCTCAATACTAATGAATTAGCTAATGTTCCATGGGAGAAACTGAAAAATTCATAGCTGATTAGCTTTTACACTGCATTTGCTTATTCTGTTCCTGTGATTAACTTCAGACATATCTATTTAAAAGTTAACTGTCTTGTTTGAATAAAAAACTGATTTGATAGCTTTCTTTCACTGACTTTAATAAATAAAATGTAACTTAAAAGACAGTTCTTAATCTTCTTTGGGGGTAATTTCATGTAGTTGAGTGCACTGTTCTAAAGCCTAAGAGTAGTGGAAATAAGCATCTTCACTGTCTCCACACCAGAGTTCTGTAACTTCAGGGGCTTTCACATAGTTACCTCTGAGGAAGTAGAAATTTAGCCTCAAGAGTTCCTTTCCAGTTATGTCTTTGCTGCTGTGCAGAGCATGCTGACACAAAGATCCAGTGGTCTTAGAGAGACACATATTGTTCAGAAACAGGCTGCCTGCTGTGTTCTACAAGGAAGACTGTAACCAAAATACTATGTTTTTCAAGTCTTTCTGAGAGTGTATCTGTAGTTATGGTGGGCACACAGGCTAAGAATTCTTTGTATCTTCCAGACCCAGTAAAGCCCTGCTAAATTGCAGATTAATTATTAGTGCATTATTTGCTCCCAGGTTACTAAATTGAGGGAAGAGGAAGGTTTACATTTTCTGCTGCAACTTAATGTGATTGGTGTAATTAAAATTAAAAGGCTTATAAAGTGACATGAAAATTACTATGCTAGTTGTTGTTTAATTGCTTCCTCTTTAATTCTGTGTTAATTGTTGTCTTTCTGTTTTCAAATCTAGAATATTCTCTGAATAGTGCAGATATATCATCTCTCTCTGGGTTTAATACAGCCAGTGCTCTTCATCTTGGTTCTGTGACTGGCTGGCAACAGCAACACCTACATAACATGCCACCATCTGCCCTCAGTCAGTTGGGGTAAGCAGTGTAAATAATACTGGTTTACTTTTTATTACTTTAAATAGAATTTTATTTCACTACTAAAACCAGACTAAACACCTATATTGTGATGTTGCTGTATTTTCCTATTTATGCTTTTTATTTCCAGTTACTGTAGCACAAACATTTACAGTAAACTTGAAATTTTTCTAAATATTTTAAATCGGCTAGTAAAAGTTACATAATTATTTGACCTGAGATTAAGCCTTATCCTTATATAATAATCATACACTCCCTTCTGCTGAACTCTGACATTCAAATTTCAATTCTTTTGGTATGATTTTTATAAGAAAATAGTATAATTAGGCCTAAGAACTGTAAGCCCACAAAACTCATTGTGATGTGCCGGTGTTGAGGCAGACAGGTATCCCTGCCCTCTAGTGGCTAATTTATTCAAGTGTTGGAGGAACACTGCTCGATAATTTCACAATTTTTAAACGTGTAAAAATTCACACAGAGAAATCACTTAATGTATTCTTGAACAAGCAGCCTCTTGGCTTATTGAAGTGAACTGGTGTATGATTTTCAAAAATCCTGATACTTGCAGTTTCTACTGAGTAATACTGTAGACATGCACCAGTGTGGCAAGTGGCAAGTGTAGCCTAATGTATGGGTAGACATGTTAGAATTTTAAGTTTTAATTATCAAAATAGAAGTTCAAAACAGCTGGAGTGTGTTTATGAGGAGAAAATTAATTCACATGCATTTGAAAAGAATACACGCTTTTTTTTTCTGAAAAAGATATTGCACATATGAACTGCTTGGTTTTGGGGTATTCTTTGCAGTATGGTTGCCATAATTTGAGGTCCTATAAATCTGGTTTAAATTTCAAAATTCTCCTTCTAATTTATTTGACCATTTTTTGTAACTAATTTTGATGTTTTTAGCATGTACAGACAATTTGGGTTTTTAAGGACAACTACACAAGTATTTCAAAGGCAACAGTTTTTTTAAACCTCATTTCTATATAAATAAGTATATATAGATACTAATGTCATAAAACCGCACAACTGAAATAGTTGCTATACTAGAAGAAAAATAGTCTTAATAGCTTTCTTCTATACTTTTTTTTTTGAGTTAGCACTGTTTCTGGGGCAACATTCAGGCTAACCATACAACTAAAGGCACGAAGTCTCAAATACATTGAAAAGTCACGTTAGCTGTCAATGTATAAGCTTACAATAAACTGATTGTTTTCAGTGGCATACCAAAGAATGTAATAAGGCAATTTGGTTAACCAAAAAAAAAATTATACATTAAATCCTAAACTAACTACATGCCTTTTCAGATATGTCACACATTGTGATCTGTTTCTAATTCATATCACAGAATGTCAAAGTGTAATGGCTGTGGAATACATTCTGAGTTACTACTTTTATTATTATTCTTTCAGTGATTTGTAAATTAATTCAGCTATGAAAACTGCTTCACTGACAGTTCTGGAGAAGTCTTCTGTCTCTGCAGAAAATCATAAGCCTTTATTTTAGCTACTAAGTTCTACATGCAAAAGCACCCGTGCTAACTTTTAGATTATTTGAAAAACTTGGTATTATATAGAATATTCAGTCTATGTCAACCTGAGCTAGAATTTGGAGGAAAATTTAAAAAATCAAAATTATAGTCATCTTCAAATATTTGTGAAAATACATCTAGAAAGTTTTTGACAACACAAATCCCTGTGCTGAGTGAGGTCATACTTTGAAAAGATTTGGCAACTGTGAGATGTTTGTTGTTAACAGTAGGCTGTAAAACCCGTGAGAAAACAGTTATTGGAAGAGACATTTGGTTCTCCTTCAGGTTTTGTTTATCACCGAAGTCTAAAGATGAAAGCTAGCTCTGCTTCCTCAATGCACAACAGAAGAATGTGGTCAGTAATAGAATAGGATAGGGTTAGATTTATTAGCTTGCTCCAGATAAGTCCCCAACAATTTCAGCAGCACCAGCAGAACCATCTTAAACATAACTAGAGAAGATCTCTGCAACCTAGCTCTTAATTATTGATGTTGACTCTGCAGTTAGCAGCCACACTACTGCCAATGGACTTGAGGGCATGTACCTGAGGACATGGGAGTAGTTCAGTTTTCTTGTCTGCACAACTTTTGGCCTTTTGCTGAGCCAAGTAAACAGCATAACAGTGTAGAGCCTGTTTTGATATGACTGGGGCATTAAAACAAGTCAGACTTTTCAACTTTTTAGGTTAGAAAGGAAAATGGTTTTTTCATGGTCTTTTAACTGTGTCTACATCTGGAAAAAATACACACAAATTCTATTGAAAATCAGTACCTCCCAAAACTTTGGAATTTGGCTTGAATATTGCTGCAATGTCTCTTATAGAAAGGGTTACTGCTTATTTAACATGGACCAAAGAATCTAACAGAAGTAAATTGCTGATAACCAGAAGAGAAGTCCATTCCAAACTTTGACATAAATGACCTAAAATTTTCATGCACAAATATGTAATATGGAATATGATATCTTGCATCCCTATTTCACAGTCTAAGAGAGAATTTTTTCTTCTTAAAGTATTATCCACGGGTAAAATTTTTGCTTTCCTAAAATATGAATGCAAACATAGAAACAGTATTTGATCCCAAGAATCTTCAGTATAGATAATTGTTTACATAAGAGAAGTTTCTTCAGCATTCTACCCACCCAAACAAGAATTTATCCAAATTCATGCATACTGTTGACTTGTTCTGTAACCCTTATATAGCAAGATTTATTATTTAGCAACAATTACTTTCTATTAGATAATAACCGTAGCTCAGTATAGGCAAATATTCTCTATGAAACCATTTTATGGAAAAATTTAGATACATGATTTAATGAATTTGTATTGGATATTCCAATTCCCTTGTTTGGAATAAAAACCTCATATATTTCAGTCTGAGCCTTTTTTCTTATGCCACTGTTATAAATAAGATGTTCCAGTGATTCAGTTTCATGTTATTTGTTGTTTAGAAATTTCTTTTTTGAAAGTGTAAACCTTAATGTGTGAGAGCTAATCAAAATAACTTCCTGTGAAATTTCTTATTATGCTTCTACATTGACCAAAAAAATTATAAGAAGAAAAACTTTGCTTTTAACAGAAAATAAACAGTGGGGAGGGAGGAAGGTTGCACTGCTAGCAAGTCCAGAGTATCCTCTATTCTCCTACCTAAAGGCTATCACGTAACTAGAACTGCATAATTGAACTTTGATGTAAATTTTCAATGGTTCTTTACATGTATTTATGGGGAAAAGGTATATGAAGTGAGGAACTAAACTGATTTAGAGAAGTGAATGTGGGTATAAAACAAGAGGTATGTGAGGCTCTCTCTTCCTTCAATACACCACTGCCTTCCTCTAGAAAACCTACCTGGTGCATGTTCATGTCCTCCCTGATCACATACTCAGACCTGCACTACACTTCTACCTGTGCATGCTGAGCTTCCATACCAGCTGGAGATTTGAATAGATGGAAACACACACTGAACTGATCTCACTGGCATCAGTGAGGACCAAACCCTCTCCCAAGCTCATGGCACCCTGTCTTGCTCCCCATGCCTCACACAGCAGAGCCGTGTAGTTGTTACGTGTGAAACTCAGATGGGACCCAACATTTCTCCATGTGGCCATGGTAATCTAAATAAACATAACATTTTCGCTACACTGGCCTCAACAGGAACTGCTGTGTCAAATTAAAATATCTTCATTATCCCCATAAAATGAAATGTTATCATACAATATATGGAAAGAGATGACTACATCAGCATGAGTGGACTGCCTGGCACCTGTTGAGTGCATATAATTATATGCAATCTTCAAACTTTTGATGTCACTTCCTTTATTTTCTCAGTGGAATTTCCATATTCAAAACATGTTTGTTTTCCAGCAAATTTAGTGTAAGTTTCAAATGATGAAAACAGGGACCAAAATCACGTAATTATATGAAGCAACAGTGTAAAATATGCATTGCTACATGTAAGTGCAAACAGCTGTTTCTACACTCACATACACACATACAAGAAATTAAATCATTTTGTAGCAGACAGAATTCTCATTTTTTATTTATACACCTTCTATTCTAAGTTAGATATCAATCTTCTGTTTAGAATACAAGTCTAAAGACTGCATCTGAGCCTGGTTTTTTCACCATTCACATGTATGTGTAACAGTGGGATTTCCTTGTTAGTGACCATTTTAGCTTAGATGAGGTTCTCATTAAAATGTTCCAGAAAAATATGAAATAATGTAAATTATAGCCACCAAAAGGAGATATTAAAATTAGAAATAGTTTCATCAGAAAAAGACTATATTTAAAAACAAAAAAATGTGACTCAAAATAATTGTTACAATTTATTTATATTGTTTGAAACCTTAAATTTGAGTCCTGACATGCCAAAGTGGCTGCTTAACCATCTTAATTAAAAAACCCAACCAATCAAAAAATGCCAAACCAAAAAAAACCCTGTTCAAAATTCAAATCAACCTAAAGCATTTTTAAAAGTGCCTCAAACTTCTATTCCAGGTACTTATGTAACCTGTCAATGAAACACAAGAAATCTACAGAATTTCCATAGAGATACATTCTCCTACTCATTTCTGAAGCACTGTTAAAAAGGCAATATTGCAGTAGAGCAATACCAGCTGTATTTCATTGAAAACTGAGTTTATGTCTCTAGATTTGTTCCTTTGGGGGCTGTCACACAACAGAATGCAAATATGTTCCATGGGAACAAATTTGGCTGAATAGTTATTTTTACCTAGCATAGGTTTTTTAGTTGTCCCAAACTTTGCAAAGTGACATGTCATTTGCTCAGATCAAACACTTCCAAAACAAATTCCCAGGCTCCACCACCCTTTATTATAGAACTTTCGGGTTTAGCTATAAGCTTGGCATCTAAAATCATATGTAATTTTATCTTACATGCTAACCTGGCAGCCTGTTTATTCAGGTGAAGTCCTACCATCTCCTACGCAACTGAAAAATAAGGCCACTGAAAATGAAAAAAAAAAGAACACAAAAAAACCTGACATTAACAGGTCATTAAATCCTGACATTAACAGAATTTAAAGAAGTGTGGAATATTTCACTAAATTGGAATGGCAAAACCTTATATTTACAGTTTGTTATATGTATCAAATTAATATTTATAAAAGCAAAGGCAAAAAAAATTCTCTTGACAAAAAAGAAGGAAAAGCCCCTTCATTTGCTACTGTGAGGGCTGTTACTCATGAACTCCATATCTTATGCTGTATCTTACCCCTTACAGGGGTTCCTTGCAGATTTGGCACATTCACATGTATAGGAATGAAGGGTAGATAAAAGCAATTGAAGGTAGAACATCCTGCTTTCTCTTTTTTCTAACAAGATCCATTCATTGTTAAAGACTGCAGTAATTCGTGATAAAAGCAGCTGATATCACTCAATATTGAAGCCATATCATTGTATTTTAATTATGTCAGAAGAAAAAAGAAATCTATTTTGTCTTTATTCGAGGTTGTAGTAAATGTTGTTTAAGTAAAGTTGAACTCTCAGTTGATGAGATACCAGGAAAAGTGGAATATTTCAATAAATGAAAAGACCATATCTAAACTTAACTGTGTCTTCTACAAGCTTAAAAATTACTTCCAAATCACAGTGTTGCATCTTCTTGCATTAAAAATGTGCATATCCCTTTGGGCTTAGAGTCTTCTGAGGCCAAGTGGTCTGTTGCCTCTACTGCCTTCCCCTGTATAAGTAAATACTCACGAGTAGTAACCTTGAAAGTATTCTCTGGGGTTACACACTAACTTCAGCCTAGCAAATGGTCCCTGAAGTGCAACATAATGGGAACGGCATTTGAGAGCTCTATTTTAGTAATGAACAGTCAAGTTTTGCCAGGAGGTGGTGCTTTTGCACAAAATATTGTGCTGATTCAAGTGATTTTGTTCCTCCCATAGAGATAAAGCATGTTCACAGTATTCACTCTCCTCCCTGCCTGTTTCCTCTTTCCTCTGCCACTACCTGCCCACAAAAATTCACAGAAGACAAAAAATAAATAGATCTTTTAATAGTTATACAGATTGCCTTGAAAAAGTTTCAGCTTAGCAGTTTTTCTTGATGCTAGCAGCATCCTCTGAGCTTGGATCTCCTACAGGCAAACAGTATAGTCCTCTGACATCTTCCACTACTCTTCAGCTTCTCTTTGGTAGTTTATCCAGAAGTATTCTGGATTGAGTTATGGGTTCATAGATTTAAACTATAAAATCATATCTAAATCTTTGCCTGCCTGTGGTGTCTTATTAATGTCAATCCTAGGACCAGTAATTTCAGCTTTATTCTGAAAGCTATTAAATGTACCAGGCCAGATTTTTTTTTCTGTTTTGTATCTGAAGTCACATATCAAAATTAAGAGTAATAAAACTGATTGGGTGTGTTCAAACTAATTGGATTAATCCCAGCAGAAAGTCCATGTCTCCCCTGTCTCAGCCAGTGCATACACACACACAAGCATTAGTTATGCAGAAACCTGCGAGTGGTTCCAACCGTGCAAAGGCTCGCCTCCCAGAATTTATCGTGGCACTTGAATTACAAAAACAGGAGAGAGAGAGAGAGAGAGACTGAAAGTAAGACCTCCTTTCAAAGTGACGGCATGTTCCACTCAAACCAACCACATCTGTTGTGGTGGTGTCATCTCTTGGAATTTGTGGATTCTGCCCAGAAAACAGTCCCTGTCCTCTCTGTGTGCACTGGTCCTGTGCGAGCCTTTACACTGGTGTTTTGTGTGAGTGTTTGTGCATATCTGGGGGCTCCATGCCTCCTCCGTCGGTAACTGGGTTTCCTTTCCTCCTACAGAGCTTGCACTAGCACTCATTTATCTCAGAGTACAAATCTCTCCCTGCCTTCTACTCAAAGCCTCAACATCAAGTCAGAACCTGTTTCTCCTCCTAGAGATCGTACCACCACACCCTCGAGATACCCACAGCACACGCGCCATGAGGCGGGGAGATCTCCTGTTGACAGTTTGAGCAGCTGTAGCAGTTCCTATGATGGAAGTGACCGAGAAGATCACCGGAATGAATTCCACTCCCCCATTGGACTCACCAGACCTTCGCCGGACGAAAGGGAAAGCCCCTCTGTCAAGCGCATGCGGCTCTCTGAAGGATGGGCAACATGATAACATTATTACCTGTTAGTTGTTTTTTTTTCTTGCAGTGTGTGTGTGCTATACCTTAATAGGGGAGGGGGGGTCGATATGCATTATATGTGCCGTGTGTGGAAAAAAAAAGTCAGGTACTCTGTTTTGTAAAAGTACTTTTAAATTGCCTCAGTGATGCAGTATAAGGATAAACAGAAATGCTGAGATAAGCTTAGCACTTGAGTTGTACAACAGAACACTTGTACAAAATAGATTTTAAGGCTTCTTTTCACTGTTGTGCTCCCTTGCAAAATGTATGTTACAATAGATAGTGTCATGTTGCAGGTTCAACGTTATTTACATGTAAATAGACAAAAGGAAAACATTTGCCAGAAATGGCAGATCTTTACTGAGATATATTACTGCAACATATAGAAAATGTACAGATGTTTTGACAGACCCAGCAGTTGGGTGGCCGTGAGTTGATGCTAGAAAGACACTGAGTCACCCAACATACTGAAAATGCTCACAAACATGCAGGTATATCATTAGAGTATGGCACTCAGTTAGAAAGGATCAAAACATTTAAAGAGTACCATACTTGTAAAAATAATGACTTTGAGGGCTGATATATTTAATTTTTAAAATTCTGGGTCTGCATCACTTATTAAATAAAAAATGGTATAAAAATATGTACAATACATTTTGCTTATTTTCATATTAAAAAGTAAGACAGAGTTTGCAAAGCATTTGTGGCTTTTGTAGTTTCCTTAAGCCAAAATCTGTTCTTTTTTTCTTGATAGTCTCGCTAATCTTTTAAACAGTCCTGAAGAAACAAACTAAAAGGACTTTTTGTATAGAAAGCACTACCCTAAGCCTTGAGGAACTCCATGCTTTGCTAACCAAGATAACTGTTTTCTCTTTGCAGAAGTTTTGTTTTTGAAATGTGTATTTC